CGCAGGCCTTCGCTCACCAATGGGTATTCGTGTACGGTCCGCCGGTCAAGCTACTGTCCGACAATGAGACACAGTTTACAGCCCGGTTCTTTCAGAACGTATGCCGAATTGTCGGTATACGCAATGCTTTCACGACTACGTACCACCCGCAAGCCAACGGCCAAGTCGAAAGATTTAATCGCACGCTCACTTCCGCGCTGCGGAAATACGTCGGAGAACATCCGAAGGATTGGGACCTGTTTAGCGACGCGGTCACGTTCGCCTACAACACTCAGGTTCAGCGAACCACAAACATTGCCCCGTTCGAATTAGTATTAGCTCGGGCACCGACAAGTATCGCGCTCCAAACACAGCCGAAATTGGAACATTTCAGCTCGTCTCGAGCCGACCACTTGAAGTAGAAGTCGTGGTTGGAAAGTTTAATGAGAACCACCGATAAGAGTCTACGAAAAGAACAAGCTCGGTACCAGCGAACTTTCGATGCAAGACTTCGCAAGCCCAAGTATGACATCCCCGCAGGGTCGTATGTTTTCCTCCGGAAGGAGCAACGTACGGCGAGCGAACCGAAACACAAGCTTGCACAAGTTGCCACAGGACCTTATCAGGTTAGAAGGTCGGACCAACATACGGTTGTCATCGCCATTGGAGATCAAGAGGAACGCGTTTCACGCGATCGAGTAGAACTAACCCCGAGTCCGATGGACCTCGCGCCGGCAACCGGCTTAACACAAGCGCTACAGTTCCATGATAGGATAGAGAGAGACGAAGGACGGAATGTTTTCGAGAATGGGGTAGCCCCCATGTACACACGCCTCCGCGAGAGGACCCCGAAGAGCTAGTTACCGAATGACAGTTAGCGGATACTCCGCAAGACTCACGCGAGTCAAGAGACCGGACAGAAGAGGGCGAGTCGGAAGATCTTCAGAAGGGGGAAGGAATTGTCAGGGAACACGAAGAAGGAGCCGGAGATCAGGAGTACGTGATCGACAAAATAGTCGACCACGGATATCGAGATAGGAAATTAATTATCAAGGTAGAATGGTATGGCTACGCGAGCGAGGACGCCACATGGGAGCCAATTGAACAATTACCGAGTAGCGCAGTGGTGACGTATTTTCGGAGGAAGAAACAACTCCTCCCACCGCAAGCCGCATGCGCGAGACTAGGATGAGCCCCCTACGGAACGCGTTGGTGAAAACGCGAATAGAAGACGCGAGTCGTAACCAAAACCCTACGTTTTTACTTTCTTAACTGTTCTGTTTTGTTTTGTTCTTGTTTTATTTGTTTCGTGCTTTTGTTCGTTTTCGTTTCACGCGACGCATCTAGGTTCGTGATCCCCGAGTGAGCGTGTGGCGCTCCCCAAGAGAGGACGACGGCCACGAAGATGCCAATCACCGCGTCACCGAAGGACGAAAAGACCAGGCAAGGTGGAGAAAAATTCAGGCACGCCGACGCTTTTCTGAACGAAGAGGAAGAACCCTCGCCTAAAGGAGGTGTAGTATAACCCCCCCTGGGGCTTTTTAGTTAGATTAGATCAACAACAGGATCCAATACTGTAGAACCCGATGCTCTACAGTACTACCGCGCGTGGCCACGTGTACCCCTCGGGTACAGGGCGCACGTGTGCCCACATGTACAAGTGTACCGCGCCGGACGGACGCGCGCACACACACGTGTACTGTCAGCCACGATGGCTGACAGTATTGCAGTACGGTCCGATCTGTACTACAGTAGTCCATTACAGTACTTCGGTACTGTAGTGTTATAGATTGTTTTGTATATTAAATATGGAGCGGACCGGCGGCGGTGGAGGAGGACAAGCACGGACTTGTCACCCCCCGACCGTCAAGGTCCGACTTCCCGCTTATTCTAAGGTAGCGTTCGCTAACTACCTTAGAGCGGCACCGAGCGCGGGTTGAGGACGCGCGCGGTACGCCCACGAGCCGGCTCCGCCTCCGCCCGTCGGTACTGGATCGTTACCCAGTACCGCGCCCGGGCGTCGAGGCGTCGAACCGCTCGCGCGTACTGGCGTCCTCCCCGTTCCCGCTCTACCACGCTACCCGGGCTCGCTGCCTGGTGCCGTTAGCTGGTGTCCCGCTTCACCCCCGTCTTCCCGATCGACAAGGGTCTCGATCGAACTGCGCATACACCCCTATCGCTGGGGGTGTTTATGCTACAGGAGGGTGACACCCTTTGAAGCAGAGACTCTGGGTAGTTGATGGACAAGAGACGAGGAACCCAGCTCACTGCCCATAGAAAAAGAAATGATAAGTCAACGCTTGGTGACAATATGGTAGTGTTTGTTTAATATACAACTTAGCGACCAATTGCGGTCAGAAGGGCACAGCACGAAGAATGCCGTGAGAGATCGAGGCCCTTTAAGGGCCTCGAAGGAGGACTATGATCGAGAGGAAGAAAAGAGAGTTGATGAGGGAATCGTGAGACTCAGGGGACGAACTTGGAGAGACGATGATCCCTGGGATGGATTCTACCTGGGAAAAGATATAGAGGGACGCTCATGTTGCGGAGAATGCGTCGGCAGAAAGGTTATAGATACTAGCAGCGAAACGCCCTTATGACAACATACTGAAAGAGCGAAAGGAAACGGTTCGCTTCCCGGGCTACTCGAGGATCAGAGGAACTGTAGGTCGGTGGAAATGATCTACCGCCGGGCGTTGGAGGGAGAAAGGATGAGGAGGCTACGCGTTATTCAGTCTTTTTTGGTGTGCGGTGGGACCTCCAGTTGGGAAGGAGGAGGTCTGTGTAACATCGAGGGGCAAACAGGAAGGAGGAGATGGAGGACTCACGCCAGGGGACAGGGGCAATCGGAATCTCTGAAGGCGAAGCGTTATCGACGACAACATATATGAGGAGCGTTGCGTGCTTGAGTGCACTGCCCAGCGACTCGTCCATGAGAATCAATGTTTTGTCGTTGTGCGTACGACGATCTGAGAAGAGAGTGAGAAGAGAGAGAGAAGAGAGCTGTACAGTGTTGGGGTTTCGGAGAGAGATGGGAAATGACTGGGAGACGGAGAGCCTCATTGACTTGGTGCCGAGACATGGAAAAATCACTGTAGTCTCAGTCTGAATCAATATACCCCCTTGGGTACGATCGCGCGCGGTATCGCGTGCACGTGAAGCGACGCTTGGATTAGCGGTCCGCCCTCGTAAGGCGTGGATTGATCAAAAAGGCGAAAATACGTGGAAATCCGCTGGACAAGTGGCAAGAGTCGAAAAGTGAACATCGATCAGTCTGCGAAATTTTAATCAAAAAATGGGTGGCTAGCGTACTTGTTGGACGTACGCGAAGTGGTTGTTGGCTAAAGGCCCAAGTTCCCGAAGCCGCCCGGAGACACCGTCCCCCACCACTGCGCAAGGCGCCGCCCGGAGCGCAACGCCATGACGTCGCCGGACCCGTTTCAGAGGCCCTGACTACGTCCCGACAAACTGAGAAGACGATGCCCGCCGAGAGGGGGAACCGCCGCCATGAGGACGTATTAGGGAGTTCTCAGGACAACTGCGTCTCGTGGCTCCCACACGCTCGCCCTAGCAATTCAAAACCCCCCCGATTCATAGCGACCCATTGTTAATGTTTTAAGTCGTTTCGTTCCTTTTTCTGTTTTTTTGATTTGTTTGTATTTTGTTCGGTCATACAGGAACAAGGCCCCGAATCACGTACGCCGAAACGCAAGTCCACAAGAATTAGCGAAGGCCGAGGAGAAAAGTAACCGAGAAGAATGGAAGAAAGGACGGTCACGACACAAGACGTTTCATCCCGATCCGAGGGCGCGTTAGCCGCGTGACAGGTGGACGAAGAGCTGCGGAGTGGTGCCCTACCCCACTACGGGAACCGGATCGACATTTTCAGAGACGTCCGGAGAATCGCACGCTCGCCAGCATATTTGGTAGATGACCTCAACCAGAGTGTCGGACTGGCTAGTACTAGAGAGTCGCCACCAAGGCGTTCCACCCGCTAGCAAAAATGCGCAGACACGAAACTTTGCGACTCGGCCTCTGAACCCAGTGCCACAGGACAGAGGGAACTGAATGATGATCTGAATGGAAAGAAGGACGTCTGAAGGCTTTGGAATTCGCTGTCAGAGGGGACCCCCCCTCAGGGGATCAATAGAACTCATTTTACCTAGCGTCACAAGACGCTACGAACGGAGAAGTTATCACTACGGTAGAATGTGATTTAAGGCTGAAAAGAAAGAAGGGGATGAGAGAGGATACGCGGATTCTTCCGCAGAGAGAAGGGCGCCTTTCAATGAGGTAAAGAAATCGCCGAAGTTGAATCTTTCAATTTATCAAGGTGAAGGCAGGTCGCATGCGAATTCAAAAGGGGGAACTTCCAGCCGTAACTCAAATTGCACGGCACGAACTGTGCCAGACAGTATGCCCTCATTCGGACGAACGTCAGGAGAGAGACCTGACGACCAAGACAAGCGAGTAACCGCTAGAATAAATTCGAGAAACAGAAGCAAAGTCTTCATGGTAGGGAGGAGATGAACCCCCCCGCAAGCCGTGAAGGGCTAAAACGGAATGGTTGGTTCAGACAGTGGATTTCAGCAGAGAGAGAGATCCGACACGGATACTTGTCATCGCGTGCAAATGCGCACAAGACGGGCCGCAACGAACATAAGAGGGAGAGACCAGGTGGAACGAAGAGCGATTGCATGGCCCACAGAACCTTGCTGTCCAAGGGATAACAGCGGCGCTATAGGGAGAAAATATTGAGGACATCCTCGGAGCCCTACGAAGCGTCGCGAAGAGATGGAAAAGGGGAGGAAATTTCCGAACAGATCTGGGCACGGGCGAGAAAGGACGTATATTTTTGACCAATGCTCAAAACGGCCGCGAAGATAGTCTTAAAACTCAACAAGACAAGCAGGGAGCCGTCTAGACACACGTTTGAGATGTCCGAAGTGAGGAGGAACATGGACACTAGACGCCTCGACCAACTCCCTTTGGTTCGAGCCGAATCAGTTGGGTCTCCACTTTTATAGCTTTGCGCTTAGCCGTGCGCGATGAACAAATGGAAACCCAAGGTATTGCGGATGCGACTTCGCTAAAAAAGGGGGGTTTCTCGAGGGAAGAGAGCTACCGCTCCCATATTGCAGGAGGACACTCGTTGAACTGATCGGAGAGAAGGGAAGGCCGAGCCATAGGTTCCAGTAAAGAGGAGGAAAAACTTGAATGAAAAAAGAGAGAGGAGGAATATATTCCTCCTTCATTTCCTTATAAGGAAATGAAGCAGAATGCGACCGCAGTGTCGGGGGCGCATGAGCAAAAAGAGGAGGAAGTTGATAGGAAAAGGGAATGCATTCTATTTTCGGTGAAATGAAGGGAAGTGTCGACGATGAGAAGACACCCTCAGAGGACAATGATCCGAACATGGATCGGCAGGACGCGACCATCGGCAATGGGTCAATGGGACGATTCACCCAAGGATTTTTTCCTTCGGAAGTGAGACGACAAGCTGCGCCAGTACGCGCAGGTCAGTGAGGGACGCTCCTCGAAGAGCCCCCTCGTTTATTCCGTGAGCACGGAGCAATGTGCGATAAACAAACACCGATCACAGAGAACCATTTAGCGGAAGCAAAAAGCACAGGATTAAGGCGCATGGCCTTATCGTGGAGCTCCGACGCAGCAGGGTATCGACGCGAGGACGGAGCGTTAGGATCGGAACCGATGTGGCCAGCGGGGCCAGCATGTTGGGAATCAGGGGGTAATCGAGGGATGGAAGGAAGACTTAGAGGGTCGTAGGAAGTAGAAGAAAGCCCACGCCGTAGCGCTTGCGTTTGGTACCTACACTCGTATGGCTCGGGGATGAAAGAAACATGAGGTTCGTCTTGCTCTTGCACTTTCACCGACTACCGGACACAGCAGTGTAGGGTTATGAGAGGGATGGCGAGGAGATTATACGATGGCTGAGAGGCGTGCAAGAGCCCTCAGAAAGGGGATATGTAGTGCAATAATCGGCTGCACCGTGAGGGAGTGAAAAGAAAATGAATTGAGGGGTATGACAAATTGAGGGAGTGACAAGTGAAAATTATTTCACTTTATTATTTTAATCATTAATTTTAATTAGTTGCATATTAGTTATTTAACATTAGATTACATCTAGGATCTAGCGCTGAGAGCTACTGTAGTGGCTCCGGCGGGGCGATATATACCTTAGCCCTCTGACCACCAAGTCAGTAAAGGTAACCCGAGTTGCCAGAGTTGAATATCACCTTGGTCGAAGTCCGTCTTTCCCAAAACGCTCCCTTTTATCACAGATTACGTTATCCTTTGCACTCGGGGGTTCCCTTTCCTTTTCCTTTATTTCACCTATCCTTTTCTATCTCTATCTCTATTTCCATCCCCTTACCTTGTGTTGGTTCCACGGTGCCTGATTGCGATCCGCATTGTGACGACTGGAGTCATCGGGCTCTTGTGTTGGTTCTTTTGTTTGTTGTTGGTGCCATCGGCTTTGGTTGCGACCGGACCGGTGTAGGTGTCTTATCCATCGGGCGACACGTGGGTGTGGCGCTGCTACTTTTTTACGTCCCCCGACGGAGGCTGTTGCGACGACGTCTCTCTCGAAGGCCCTGTTGTGTATACAGGACAGTGTTGGTTCTATCGGATACAGGTTGCGACCGTTCCGGTGTCGATACTTTGCCATCGGGCAGTACGGAGGTGTAGCGCTGCTACGTGTTTGCTAATTACCGTCGGGCTGCGTTGCGACGCCCCCGTCGAAGACCTTATCAAGGGTATAAGGTGTACCAGGCGCTCAGCGAGCATTGGCTTTACGACCCATCGCGCCCGGCTTCTTAATCACCGCCCGAACTCACCGAGCAGCTGCCTGTACAAGACTCTACCACCATTCATCCCGGGCCGAGCATCTTCCTTTTGCCCCCCCTATCAGGGATTTGAGCTACTGTGTGCCGCAAACCCACTTAAAGGGAAAGGGAGACTCGGACACTCCGTAGGGCTGTGCCGTCGGCAAATCTTGTTGGTTGTTGTTTGTTGGTTGTGTTGTTGCTGGACCGTTGGACCCTGGTTCCGGCCTGACAGGCACGGTGCACTACATCGGCATTGCAGGGGCTACCGTGCTCGCTTCCGGTGGCGAGGGGTGTATTATCGGACAATACCCCCCGTGACCTAGGCGAGCACGTGGGGACCGGTCGGGGTCGTGGGGACAAGACGGCTCACGCGACGGCGTGGACGTAACCGTCTTTACTCTTTTTTCGAACTACCGGTGCTATCGGAGCTACCTTCCTGGCAATCGGCGGCCAGGTCTTCTTCCGGTCCTCGGCCGCGTGGGTCGGGACGTCTTACCCACTGCGGCACTACCTCGTCGGCGAATTATTCGGGTACTTCTAGACCTTGACCTGCGACGTCCGGACGTCGCAGGATATGGGGGACAGGGAGAACCGGCTCTCCTTCGTGCCCCTCCATGGGTAGGGGACGTGGATCCTCTACTCAATCTTGCAGGTACATGATCGCATTATGTACCTGCTGAGGTAACCGAGAACGGTCTCGGTCCCCTCCGCTTCCTTGACGGGGATACCTTGTGTCCGCCTGGCGGTAATCGGGTCGATCATGACGATCGAGTTCGTTACGGCGATACCCACCTCCACGTGGGGCGAAGCATGCGCCGCCACCCGAACGATTCGGGGAACCTTGACGCGGGGACGGCCCTCGCCGACCGACTGCCGGAGGAGGTTACGCGAACCGGGGCGCGTCTCCATCTGGTAGCGGTAGTTCCTGTGCGCCGTGAACATACGTTGTTCCGGCGACAGGAACGGACAGGCGTACATGGCGTGTCCGTACGTACGGCATAGCCAGCATACGTACGCGCTGCCGTCCGCTGAGGCGAAAGTTGCCGCGTGACGGGCTTCCTCATCGGTGGGGAGGGGCACGCGAGGGGCTCCGCCTCCTGCATCTCGGTTCGATATGTCGAGCTCTGCGACCCGGGGTCCGTACCCCTTGCCACTCTTGGAGTGTGCGCGAAGGCGGTCGCGTAACTCGATGTCGTTCCGGTCGACATCGGCGTGGGAGGTCGTCCTCCTACGGACCCCGTTCCTTGCGTAATGAGGACAGGGTCAGCCTGTCACTCATCCTCCTCCATACGGAGGGCCGAAGCGGACGAACTTGTTGCGGCAGATTTCGTAGTCCTGCCAGCCTTCCCTGCCGGTTTCGGGTCCGGCAGAGGTAAACCGCGCCGAGCGCGGTACGTAGTCCCTTCCGCCGTGGCGATGCGGCGGATGGTGGGTAGATCGGTCTTCTGGCTGCTTGGCAGCCGCTGGACGGTCTCGGAAACTGCGGCACGGGTCGCCGGTGCGAGTCCCCGCACGAAGTAGTGCGCGAGGGACTGTTCGGAGAACACTGCCGTGGACCGGAACGCGGCAGTTTCTAACCGGTCCGCAAAGGTGCTCTCCGTTTCGTGACGTTTCTGTCGCGCCGTAGCGACAGCGTCGTACGCTTCACCTAACACGTCGTCCGTGAGGTAGCGTTTCAAGAATTGATTTACGAGCCCCGGCCAGCTCACGTCGTCGTGGAGCTGGCCGGCGCGGAGGCCACGCATCGTATAACTCGTATACAGGCGCGTCGCGCTCTAAGAAGTGCGCTAGGACTCGTACGGCAACACCTTCCGTCAGGTGTTGCGAGTTGAAGGTTATCCGGATATCTTTCAAGAACGGCAGCAGCTGGATCTGGTCCGTACCGTCGAAGCTACGCATCGTGGGACGGATCCCACGACAGCGTTGTACGTACTTCGCAATCTGTCCCGCATCACCCGAAGTAACGATCCTCGAGGTGTTATCCAAGCGGTACATACGATAGTCAGCGACGGCTCTGAACTCTTGTATCATCGTATGTACCGGCTCGAGTCCGGGTTCAGCGGGACCCAGCGTTCCGAACGGGGTAACGGGTAGCGTACGGACGTCTACCGGACCGGGTCGCGCGGTGTGGTCCACCGGCGGGTGGCCGCCCCAGCGGGGATCGACGGAGAACAGGGGTTCTCCGGATCTGCGAGCGGCTACTCCACGATCCGGGTCGTTACGATACCGCACCCGTCCCGTCTGCCACATGTTTCCGGGGGCATGTGGCAGAGCTTGGGACTCGGACGCGACGTTGGGGTCCATCGGAGGTCGTCTTTCTCCTGCGTCCCGACTGGGGTTGGCCACATTTGGGCGCCATCCTTGCGGGGCGGCAGCGTCCGGAGGTACAGCACCACCGGGCCCTCTCTCTCATGGGGGCACCGGGCAGCCTTGCGGCCATGGTACGTTCCAGGTCACGGGCACGCTGCCGCGTGGACTCCAGCTCAGCGGTGAGGTGCGCGAAGGCACCAAGTTGCTCCGGCGAGGGGGATTGACGAGCGTCAAGATGTCTCGACGAGGTCGGCCTCGCGGGACGACCTTCCCCATTCGTAGCGGGGTTCTCGAGACGCGAGTCTTCGACGAGCACTAGTCGCGATTGCAACTGGTCAACCAGTGCTCGGAGATTCTCTAGCGACTGGGTGACGCGGTCGAACCTCCCCTCGCGGATGGATCGGAGCTCGTCCATGCAGCGCGAGTAGAGGGCGTCCGTAACGTCGATGCGGAGGAAAGTACGGACTTCCTCGATGTAGTCTGCAATGCGGTCGAACATCGCTGCCGCTTGTCCTTCGGCGGACTCGGGCACCGGTTCGCGGTCTCGGAGACCTGCGTCGCCGTCGCCGAACGGCAGTGATGGGGCGTGCATAGCGGAAGCCCTCGAATCCGCCGGTTCGGAGCGGATCGAGGGGGCGATTCTTGACTCATCTCGACGCGTACGGACGCGGAGGAAAAGGAAAGTCTTCTCGGAAAGATCTCGGGGTCTTCTAGGTCGAGAGACCACTGTAGCATAAATACCCCTAAACCGATAGGGGTGTATGCTTAGTCCTGGAAGACCGGTACGTACGAGAACACGGGGGAAGTGGGACCAGCTAACGAAACCGGAACACGGGCCCGGGTAGCGTGATAGAGCGGGATCGGGGGGAGGACGGCCACACGCGCGGGCCGATCTACGCCTCGACGCCCCGGAGCAGCGCTGGGTTACATTCCAGCGCTGACGGGCGGAGATGGATCTAGGCTCACTCGCGTGCTCGCGCGTCCTCTACCCGCGCTCGGTCTCGCCTTAAGGTAGCTAACGGAAGCTTCCTTAGGATAAGCTGGAAGTCAGACCTAGGCGGTAGGTTGTGGACAAGTCCGTGTTTGTCCCCCTTCGCCGCCGCCGGTCCGACCCGTTATTTAATGTACAATTATTCTATCGTAACTTAGTACAGTACGTACTGTACTATGTGGCACTACTGTAGTCGGCACTGTCAGCCGACGGGGCTGACTGTATACGTGTCGTACACGTATAGTACACGTGGGGGCGCGTGCCCCCGTACACGTGTGGTACCGGCTGT